TCCTGCCAGTGAATTAATCCCGCGCCACGTGCATATACATGAATGATCCAAGAGTCACGCTACCAAGTTCGACGTCACTTCCGATTGCTTGCCGTTTAGTCTTCACTAAAGTTACAACAAAATTGAAATTTTCTATGCTTTTATTCGTCGTACTAAATGCAAATGATTTCATTGAAGTTGACTTCCGTAATGCCATCTGGTAAGTGTATGCTTGTTTTTCACTAACTTGTTGACCATAGTAGACCAGGAGACGCACATAAAAACCTTTAAATAGTAAATGAGTAATATACATTGTTGTTTGTCAAAACGAATACGAATTATTCCATACAATACGTTAATAAAAAAATATGACAAATCAAATAACCAGATTATTTTAGATAAGTTATCATTGTTCACAGTTCATTATCCTTTTAACTTGACCAGTAATTTTAAAATGATTAAAATGCTGCAAACATTTAGATAACCATAGATGACCGATTTGAATTAAATAAACAGACATTTAAAGTCAAATAATTGTAAAAGAAGGTGATTAAATTTTTACTATTCGTATACAAAAAAAAGAAGAAAAGAAAAAAAAAGATTCTTATTTTTAATTGTACGCATGTTCTGGAAAGATTGAGTGAAAGTAAAAGCCAATGAGCTGAGGATGAATATATGTTTGTAAATTTGTAAAATTTTATGTAAAGAAACGCTCTGAGCAGAGAATGACAGAAGTAAGTCAATGATACTAGTCCCCGACAAATTAATGACTTTTGACCACATTTTATACTGTTACTATAATTTTCATTTCGTCTTTCAGTCTTAAAATCATTTAAACAGATACAAAAACAACAGAAATTTAGAAATGTTATGATCTGTATGACATTAGAATATACACCTACCTGTATCAGGATCGGGCTTTGGACGGATATTTTTAGCCCTGAGTATAACTATTTTCAATCTTTCTGTATGTGGAAGATACGTTAACGCAATATTCAGATCACCTAATGATGACCCATACTGCAATAATAATTAAAAAAAACTAGCAATTAAAGCATAAGATGGGGATTATGCTATGCTTAGATGTCATTATTCTGTGCATCAAATATTTCGTACAAGTACTTGAATAAGTTTATAAAATAGTAAAAGAAAATGAAAGGGTAGAGAAACGAGATCTCAATTTCAATATCGATTAACGTTATGTTCTGATTAAATTAAAAGACAAATAAGATACAGTCCAGGTCTAGTCCTTCTTGACTGTTTTAAAGAAAAAATCATTACTACACATCTTTATAAACAATAAAATTGTATTACAATAGATAGAAAGAAAACTGATTACATGTATTTCTTGCTCCAAATCTTTACATATTATGTCAGATGAGTCCATATTGAGATCTTGGAGTGGTACAACCACGTGACCGAGTGTATGACGTAATCGACGTCTGTCTACGTCATATACAGAAAATCGAAGACTCCGCTGCCCTATATCTTCTTGATTCACCTGTAGAATAATCAAGAAATAAATATCTTAAGCAGTTTAATGCTGAAAAATACTTTAATTAAAAGATTTAATAGTCAATAACAAACAGAGCTGCATCAGTACTAAGGGTGTAGTACTTAAGTACCAGTACAAGTACTTGGCAAGTTATGCAGTACCAGTACCAGTACTAGATTTTAGCTCGGTACTGCAGTACCAATACTTTTTGGGGGAAGTAATTTAGTATCAGTACCATAACTTCATATATTCATCAAAGTTTGATTGTATCATAGTTTGGGGACCTTTCTGTTGAAAATACGTCAGAGTTAAATCGTATACATATACATGCACAGTGCGTTAACCGCGCTCCTGAGCACGCCCATTGATTGGTTCATTTTTGCTGGGGTTTACTTATTGTGACGGCAGAGAAAAGAAATGCGACAGAAATATGGTATTCAGATGCTCGTTCATTGGTTACTTTTTTTCTGGGGTTTAATATTGTGACAACAAAGAACGTGTTTTTATGTTTGACTATGATACAAAAGAGAAGAACACCAAAACACTTGGCAATCTGATTAAAATGCCCCCTCGTACAAATCAGATAGCCTCGTGTTTCGGTGCTCTTTTTATTACATAAATACACAGTGTCAAACAAATAATTGCAAATATTCAGCAAAGAAATAAAGTCAATATTTACGATAAAGTGAACATAACATTTTTCAACTTTATTGTTTTAACATACTTTTTACAAACAATATTACAACATATATTCATGTCATATCTTATTGTTTAGTAACCAGTCAATGCAATCATCTTTCATTTAAAACACACCAGTCTTTTGTTGCCTTTCACACCTCCACACCTATGTTTAATTTATTCCAAAGTAAATTACAACTTTTTATGTTGCTAACAATATCACTTGAAATAGGATTATTTAGAATAGAAGCAATTAACTTTAGTGATTATTTTGCTCTTTTACTTGTAAATACAAAGAAATAAAAGATTTTAATAAGGAAATTTTAGGGTAAAGAGCTTTGAGTCTGTTTATCTCAATTTAATTTTTACATTAAGTTTTTGGTGCTTTTTTATGATGAATACTATGTTAACATTAGAAGGAATATTGCAGCAAATTATCTATAGATTTGATAACTTTCTTTTTCACAAAACTAAAATAATGTAATTTACCGCTTTATTTTATGAGAAATTATCAAAACCAAAAGTACTGCATTGTAATCCAGTAGCAGTATCACTTTTTAAGACAGTAATGCAGTACCAGTACCAGTAGTAGCAAAATTTTGTAAGAGTAATTCAGTATCAGTACCAGTACTTGCAAAATCGCTGCAGTACGTACTGCAGTACCAGTACCAGTAATGCAGCTCTGATAATAAATAAGAATAACACAAAATGTAATAGCTCTATATATTCGACATCAAAAAGGAGAAATGATTTTTCTCCTCAAACGCACGAAAATTTAGATATAATGTACTCTTGTCTCAAAGTAGGTAGATAGAATTTCACAAGTCTTCAAAGTTGTAAAGCAATGTTTCAAATTGAATTGTAAAACAACAGGGAAATATATAACATTAATAAAACTTCAAAGAAAATAGTAGACATTTTTTGTTAAAAGTCAGAGCTATCTACTTTTGGCAAGGAGTGCGTAGATTTATATCCATGATAGTGTCATCAACAGCATATGTTTGATGTTGCAATAATCAATAGTAGGATATATTAAGACGACCAATGACATTCTGAGTTGAAGAATCTAATAGAAATTCCGAATTGAAATTGGACATAATTTTGTTACAGTTACACGTATACTATCTTGTCGATGACCATTAACACGTTTTCAAGGTTTCAAAAGCAATACCTCACATACTCTCGACAACCTGTGGTGCTTGTGAGGGGGGGAAATATTAAAGTGACCAATAAAATTCTTCTGATATTCAGATCTTCCCTCTAATTTCTACAGAATTCGGGCAAATAGTAATAACAAACATATTGCCTGAACCGGTTTTAAAATTTGTTTTAAAAAACTAGGAGATTCTAAAAAGTGTTGCTGTCACCTTAATTTTAAGATTGAATATTTATTTTACTTATAGTTATAATGATGATAGAGATATCTTTCTATACCTTCATGATATTCAACAAGATATGCCTATCATTAAAGTATTCAGTTTAAATGTTAACTTAATTGTTCGAAATGTATACCTTTCATTCTAAGTCATTGTTATTCCCAACGCAAAATAAACATATTTCAGCCACATTTGTTAATGTCGAACACACACCAATGAAGTAAACATGCAGCCTTACCTCGAAACTAAAAGTTTCGTTAAATGATGGGTTAAGTGTTTTCTTAACAGTTTTTGTTGAATGACAGATATTTTCGTCTGGTAAAAGAAAAACTTTGACAAATGGATCCCTGTAATTTTCATCCATATTTCGACCTGAAGAAAGAAAGATTGTCGCATCTATATAAATAAAGAAATGATTTGTGTTATTGCTTGATTACAATTTATCAATGAATCTATGAATCACATGATTGTGTAGTCCCTTTAACATAAGAGCTATGAAATAGTTTAATGGAGTTCACATTTAAACATTAAAATACAGAATCATTATAACGTTACAAACGGAATAAGGTTTTATTTTTTCGTTTCTTTATACAAATGTATTTCTTTTTTCTTTTTTGTCGATGGTTAACGATTTGACAACACAGTGATAAAATAAGCTCATTCCAAACATACATATGTTAAAATAAGTTTATCTGACGTGCATATTAATGAAAATAGAAACTCAATGATCATATTGTTTAACTTTTGAACCTACAGCAGATGTTAATACAGTCATATATTAAACTTTCTATTACCTTGTAACTCTTTGACCTTTATGATGGTAACTAAGAGAATGCTAGATGTGGCGTCATAAAGTACAGTAAACCATATACGGCCATGCTCGCTGGGATCTGTGTAAGTGCTCCCCGGGAGCACATTTTCACTCTCAGTCCTAAAACGTCATATTTTATTAATTAATGTTGATGTAATCCCACATCTATATACATGCAGAAAAAGTTTTTTTTACATTTTTCTTGCATTTAATAAGAAATAAGTAACAAGACGAAAGAATTCATTTACAAAATATTTAAAAAAAAAAAATAAAAATTTTCTTTTGATTTTAGAAAATTATAGTTTACCTTTTATAGCCATTTCTACACTTTTAACAAACATTTCAAGTACCAAACTTACTTAACCTTTTTTATATAGAAAATCTGTAAAAGTTTAGTATTTACCTAGTAAAAGGTACTTGAGCATGCGTCCCAAGAAAGTTAGCCTGATACTGTAATGCCGTAAGACTTTTTGATTTATCTCCTTCCGGTGAGGGCTGGACCCATTCAGTTTCCATATTTGGTAGATTATCGAACGTACTTGACCTTACGATAGCTTCATCCACAGAACCATATGCATTAGGACATGATTTCCGCTTCTCCCTCACAGGAGACTGTATTCTATACGTGGGCGGAAATGAAATATGCAGAAATTAACATCGATATAAGATTATCACTTTCAAATGTTAATTTGCTCTCTGTTAACTTATTTTCGTGATGTTTATTTATTTTGTTATGTGTTTACATAATATTGTCATAAAAAGTTTAGCATATTATAGTGTACATGTCGTGCCACACTATTCACGTACACTTTAAACAAACATTCAAAAGTACAAGGTTTCTAAATGATTAAAAGGATTTATTTTAATCGTCTATAATTTAAAAATACATCTTAATGTAAATAAAGCAGCATGCCTTTAGGTTCATACTTTTGAAAATGTATTTAAAAGTAAAATATGTGTAGTGTACAAAGAAAGTAATTAACATATTGCAAACGACATTTGCAGTCCACATAAATTATCCACATTAATTAAGATGCCAAAATATGGAACATATGGAGCCCTTACTACGCATAAGTTAGTCATTAATCGAACATTATATGTAAAATCTTTCTTGAAAATTTTGGAACAATTTTCTTAAGTTTGATTATTTTCGAAAAAGTCTGGTTGCATGCTGCTTTAACAGAAGTTATATTTGTGCCTTTCTTTCCGGAACATTAGAGTGAATTTCGAGAAGCCTCTTTTTTATTTTTGAGATTTAAGCACATGGAAAATCGTATATGTACAACGTCAAACAAAACAGTGTACACCTGTGGTGGACTTTTAATAAAAGAAATGCACGTTTACGTTTGAATAGTGTGAATGATCATCGTGTAAACTTTTCATAAACATATTGATTTGGTACGCTTTTGTGCGTCTAGTTGGTGCTATCTACAACACGACAAAGCGCCAAACGGCGCGTTGTCGGACTTTCGTCTTGTCGCTAGCGGCAGTACGCCAAAGCGCCAAACGGCGCATTGTCGCGCTGTCGTCTTGTCGTCCTGTCTCTAGCGCGGCACGTCAAACGGCGCGTTATCGTACAGAGCGTTGTCGCGATGTCACCCTGTCGCTTGGCTTATAAGCCAATCCTTCAATTTGAACCGAGCGACAATGTGACATCGCGACAACACGCCGCACGACAACGCGCCGTTTGTTGTGCCGCGCTAGAGACAAGACAACGCAACGCACAAAAGCGTACCAAATCAGCCACCATATATTTATGATACAATGCTTAATTATATAACAGTGATCGTTTTTTTTGTTTATAAGCAAGTGGATATTTTGCTATAAACAAGAAAAGATTTTTTTGAAGCATCTTGTTAAAAGGACACTGTGAAATAAAATCTTGGTATAGATTATATTAATCACGTGATATAGATGAAAATTAAGTCGAACTTTCACAACATGTTTCCAAGATCAATATTTGTGGGCTTGTAACATTTTGTGATAAATGTACAATTTAAATGGTTGGTAATAAACCCATAAAAGCTTAAAACCACGTAACATATTGCAGAGCTTATATCAAAGGCCATACTACATTAACAAGCGAAGAAAAAATATAAAGAAACGATCCTTTGCAAGATAAAGTGTATTGACCGAATGCAATTATCACGTCAAGCAAATAAATGTATGGGGTAAATAGACGTAAATAGGAAAACTGGTCATGATTCTGGACGACTCCCTAAAGCGGCACTTATTAAAACGGGGCATGAGATTATGCGAGTTAACCAATTAAAATTAACCAATCATAGCATCAGTTTACAGCCTCCATCTAGCTGTATATGCATAGATCCCTGACCTGTCTTATTCTAATTATCAGATTAGTGGATACAATAAAAAATTCACCAACAAAAGAGCACATGTCAATGTTTGTGGTTAAATCTATTGTTACTCAAATAATAGGTCAGTGTAGGGATCTGTCCATTGAGTAGCACTAGATAATTAACTTAGGTGAGTTGTTAAAAAGATATATATATAATTTATAAGCTATAATCAGATTAAAATTATAGATGGGAAATTAAAATCAATCTTTTTTGTGTGAGAATAAAAATTTAGACAGCATTTTCTAGAAATAAGATAATCATTGTTATCATGAACCATGAACTTGATTTTTAACGATTATTATATAGGGTTGAAAAAAATTATTTTAGCACTGACCTTGAAAGTGGTGCGGACTTGCACGTGGACCTTCCATTATGCATCTCCGCGAGGAACAAGCTAGAAGGTGTCCTGTTTTTGTGACGGTTTTTGATTAACATGACCACTACACATAACAGTAGGAGGAAAAATATTCCTGTAACACATGCCACCAGATAAAATAAACTCATTTTGCCTGAAATAAAGAGAGATAAAACAACATACAGCTTTGACCAAAAAAGATAAAACATTTGCGGATCATTGTACAACGCGTTTATAGGTTATCATGCCAGACTTCTTAAATGTCACCTCACATTATGTAAATTGCTACCGTTTTAACAATACATTTACTTATTAGTTGGAATAATACGCTTACTCAGCTATATTTTAAGCTTTTATATAACGGAAGGTCGGACTGTCAAGATTCAATAAAACATGATAATCTTTAGACAGAGATAAAGAAACAACAACAATGGAACTTGCAACGGTGGTACCTTTTGGCTTCCGTAGATTCAAAGGTTGTATTTAAATGTAAGTTTGGCATGATACTAAATGTCACATGATCGGGGTCAAAGAAGAATTTTAAGTGAATGTCTCTATGAAAATCCTTGCAAAAGTGGCAGTCAGTATGATGTGGTAAGTATGTACATATTTTCATAAGGGCTTCGAGGCAAGTGGAATTATTTTATACATTATTTCAGCAGAAATGTATAATGTACTGTTATCGTGGGAATATTTTATATTAATCGACCAACAGTAGTTTACAGCTACGCCGCATTTTAATAAGTAAAATAATCACAAAACTGTGCATCTGCATTTTTTTGAAGTTTCAGTCAACACCATTAAATCATTAAATATAGACGGCATTTATGATTGTCATCTTTACTTTAATAAGTTTCTTCTCATGTCAGAGAAATGATGGGGTTATTTTGTGTCAACTTTCAAAACTATATGCAAGATACCTTTAATTAAATATACAATAAAATAAATAGGGCGTTGAAAGATTCGATTAGCATAAATCTCGGTAGATCATGAATATAATTATATACAAAACGCATTGCTAATTTCTTCAGGCTATTACTGATTTTTCTTAAGAGCACATTATGCCCCAATTACAAATATTGTTTGCCTACTTTAGAAAGAACAAACGTCAATTTAATGGCATGTTAGATGCTTGTGACCTGAAGAGAGTAGCCATGAATGTGAAATTACTATCATAAAGTAGGAAAATGTAAACAAAGTACTCCTTTGACTTCCATACAGACTACTAAATAAATGAAACTGTACTTAAAAAAAAAAAAAAAAAAAAAAAAAAAAAAAAAACAGGAGCAAAAGATGGTTTAGGCGATTGGCCTGGATACTGTAAAAGTTGCCAAAATGATAAAGCTTTTGAGGGATAAAAAAGCATTTCTGAGGCATAATGGGCCTTTAAGTAGGGATAACTGATATGCCTTATATTAACAATAAAAACTAAATAGATAAAAACAAGATACGTACCATCTGTATCTAGAAACGTTTTTATAATACCAGAATCAGTTTTATTTCCATGATCCCCTGTCACTTCTCCACTCATACTACCATGCTAACGTCACGCTGTCTAATTAATCCACTGCTTTTATCAAATATCTTAAACATTTCATTCAACACCCATAATATATCAATATCCTTAAGACATTTATAAACAGCATTTACAGATAAGTGAAGATGTTCCCATTTATTCAAACATTTATTCATTCACATACATCCACGTAAACAGACCACGTGACCGTCGTTTGATTTATTGTCACAAGGAGGCAAACTATATTTTCACAGCGGTTTATCGACCAAAGATTTTGTGTAATTATAAAGATAAAGGTGATATTACGATATTCAAGGTATTAACTAGCTTGCCAGATGTTACCTTTGAGAGTAAAACTCAAGAAAAATAAACCATTTTGAACGTGAGGATATGAATCAATCGATGATGTATTTATATACCTGAGAAAGATTGATTGTTGTAATATTTACCGCAAATAATGAGCGTTTTCTTGGATTTAAAGGTCGTTTCCGATATTTCGTTTACTACGTTGAATTATTTACCTGAGAATTAAGTCACTACTCCTACTTTGATATAGTTATGAATAAAAATCACAATTATCATAAGATTTTTTAATCAAAACAGTCACAGTTAGTTAATATTTAATCATGTCAAAAAGCATGTCAACAATCATGTTAATAATGATGTTAATAATCATTTCAGCATTCATCATGTTAATTGTCATGCCAACAATCATGTTATTAATCATGTCAGCAATCATGTTAATAATCATGTCAATTAACGATCATGTCAATAATTATGTCGGTATTCATCATGTCAATTATTATGTCAATTATCATGTTAATAATTAGTTAAACAATCATATTTATAATTATGTCGGCATTCATCATGACAAAAATCATGTCAATAATTATGTCGATAGTCATGTTCTCGACTTCCTCATCATAATTAGCATCATGATTGTCTTCTTCTTTTTCTTTAAGCTGCATGTCTCCAGAAAATATTTCAAGAAATTCAAACTGGAGAAAAAGAAACCGAGCTTTTAAGGAAAGTAAAAAGATTTAAGATAAAAGTACTTATTTCTATGCTTTTGCGTTATTAGGGCTAGCTTTGCAATTTCTGACCTTTTTTATGTTATTTTGGTTGATTGGTTGATTGGTTAGTGCCGTTTGCAATGTGTATTTTTCACAACATTTAAATTTTTATACATATATAAACAGGAAGCTGGAGATGCTCTGCTTCGGCGATTTTCAGTCATAGATATGGATGAAAACAAATCTTTTTAGTACATTTCAGCGACATTTAACATCATGAATATAGGTTAAAAAACAATAGTCTTGCCTGATCAATTGCAAGGATACTAACTTTAAGAAATAGATATTCTTCTTTCATTTGAGATTGATCAATAAAACCCATTTATCAACCGACACACATTATCTACATTTCAGTTTTAGCGTTCTATAATGTATAAAAAGTTTTCCTATAGTTACCTGACATCACGCTTTAATATAAGGAACGTATTGTATGAGACAACAACAACAACAACAATAAATAATGATTTCACTGACATTTGCTGTTATGTTATATTTAAATACCTACTTAATAAGATTGTTTCCTTAGCAATATTTGAATATAAGGATGGCCTTGAATGAAACACGATATTGTAGGACAGTCAATACTTTCACTTTCCTTCATTCTGTATCACAATAAAGGTACATGTAACAGCTTGCTAACAAAGAATGTGCGAAAAAAATAGTTATCACAAGAGGGACAAAAAACAAAGATGTTTAACTTATTTATGTTTAATGATATTTTGGCAAGATATGGCCATGGCTGACATAAATTCTAAAACATGATACTAAAAATACAATCGCAGTGTATGTAAGATTCAAATATCGGAAACTATTTAAATTTAGATTTTAGAAACTGCAGTGTAGTCGTAAAGTAGTAACTCCGGATCAATCGGAAGTACGTTTAGACAGTAGAGTAGCTCCGGAACATCGTGAGCTAAACATAAGATGTGAATCACGCTTCCTTATAAGAAAGGCTATATGGCGATCACATTACTCCGGAAAATCGGGAGAAGAACTGGCTCCGGACTATCGGCAGCTTGTAATATTACTCCGGAAAATCGGATGCAGAACACCGGAATATCGGAAGTAATTAAAATTACACTGCATAAATGTATTTAAAATTCATCAATGATGATAAAGCTTAATATTTACCCTGCGATTGTATCTTACTATATATGAAATGTGTTATACATAAATATAATGTAATGTTATAAGTGACTGTACGAATCGACATTAAGCCGTAGTTATAAGTTCACTGTATATGTCCATACATATGTCTATTTCATAATAACGTAAATCTCACTATAATGCTGTTAGAGGGTGATCTGATGAAAAATTCTTATAATGTATGTAAAACATGCACTTAACACATTATGATTATATAACTTCAGCAACATGACAATGAATGTTCCTTTGCAGTAATGTCCTATATTCACGAACAAGACATCAGATCTCAAAAAGCCCCTCCAACGTCAGCCATGACAATGTTGATGCAACATGCACATATATAAACGTAGTTGACTTGTGCAGCAAATTCTGAAAAAATAAAATTAGAGGCAGCGAGAAGTTTGTTCATAAAATTGCAATATAATTTGGGTTGGGTGGGTGGGAAATAAAATATTTTTCTCCAACCTTTCTCTTCTATGTCCAAACGAAAAAGAACCCCGTTTCTCAGCTTTTTGGCTACGCTATGACGAAATTCATAATGACGTCACAAGTACCATGCGGCCACCATGTGCGTAATTGAAATAAGGTCTGAAGATTTGTCGCCCTTGTGATAACTACTATCATTTAAAGACACGCTTGAAATGACAGGAAATTTATCACAAGAGGGACAAAAAACAAAGATGTTTAAACTTATTTATGTTTAATGATATTTTGGCAAGATATGGCCATGGCTGACATAAATTCTAAAACATGATACTAAAAATACAATCGCAGTGTATGTAAGATTCAAATATCGGAAAACTATTTAAATTTAGATTTTAGAAACTGCAGTGTAGTCGTGAAGTAGTAACTCCGGATCAATCGGAAGTACGTTTAGACAGTAGAGTAGCTCCGGAACATCGTGAGCTAAACATAAGATGTGAATCACGCTTCCTTATAAGAAAGGCTATATGGCGATCACATTACTCCGGAAAATCGGGAGAAGAACTGGCTCCGGACTATCGGCAGCTTGTAATATTACTCCGGAAAAATCGGATGCAGAACACCGGAATATCGGAAGTAATTAAAATTACACTGCATAAATGTATTTAAAATTCATCAATGATGATAAAGCTTAATATTTACCCTGCGATTGTATCTTACTATATATGAAATGTGTTATACATAAACATAATGTAATGTTATAAGTGACAGTACGAATCGACATTAAGCCAAAGGCGCAGCTCATTTGGCTGGAAAGTAGCCAACAAAGAGCAAGCCCCGCCATAAGAACTAACCGTATGGGGGGTGATGATTCGGAAGCTGTCACTGTCAGCCGGATTTAAATATGCTACGGAAAACAGTTACTGCCTGTAAAAATGATATTGTAAATCCCATTCCTGAGAGTGTCAACCATAATGTCAAGACCCTTAGCAGATAAATGAACATTGTCTCTAAAGAATTCCTGAGACTCTCGAATATCTGGATACCTAATATATCCACCACCGTTTGTAATACAGAATTTAGCCAAAGAACTATTTAATCTTTTTCTAGCCTTATCCAACTTTTTGTGGTTATTTTCTCCTCTATAATATAATCTTGGAAGAACCCCGGACCAGACAAGACGTACTCCAGGAATAATAATAATAATACAGTGGCAAAATTATTTGTAAGTAGCCATTTACAATAGTCTAAAGGGGTTTTCCCAATATTATTGCTTCCACGATGTATAATTATGGCAAACGGTAATTTATTACAATTCAACATTGTATTAAACTCATGAAGTAGGCCTTCAGTCAGCAAACCAGGCTTAAATTTCCAGGTAATAGTTGTATTTTCTAGACCGAGGTCCTTCCCATACCTTTGTTTGGCATGATAGAAGGCATTCCTTATAATAGATAAACCAATAATCCACACATGTGTGTTATTTATTCCTAATAAAGAAACATTTGGGTTAAACTTTTAAGTATTTCAAAATAGTAATAATAAAGCATGCTTTTTCTTTATCATATTTACTGAGCCATTTACTTAGGGAGCTCGTGTCTATTGGTGTTTGACCTAATACCAAAAGGTTTTTGATTAGTTTGGAATCTTGGCTGGATCTCCGGTCTGAATAATCTTGGTCTGAAAGAATTTGTTATACTGGTTGAACCCCGACCCAGGTCTGGTCGAATGGAAGGTGCACGACATACATACGAAGGATGATTGCCACTGCATTTTTTACATTTGTGCTGATAAAAACAACCTGGTTTGTTACAAAAGCCTTTTGTATTGTAATCAAAACATATATTTTGGGTATACTGTGGTACGAAAGCATTATGATTTGCTGTCATTGTAGTGAGCCAAAGCTCAGCATCAATTACTGACCAAGGCGTCCCCGGGTGTTGCGCAATATTTCTTCTAAACATTTTATCATATTGTGCCCAACCAGATGGGTTCCTTTTAGCAGCTAAACGTATTGTATTTAAGTACTGCAATAAATGTTTAGCTAATAATGGACTTTTTGTAACCATAATATGTATATAAATCAAAAAGGCATCAGTCCACCTTTCGATATTTAAAACTGTATTTTTCTTAATGGCATTAGATATCACCAACTCGCCATTCACTAATTTGATGGATTGTTGTCCATCTTCTTCTTTTTGCAAGAGAATAGATAAATCAATGAATTCCCCCTGCCATATTTGTTCTTTAAGTTTTTTGGGAATGTGAAGTGACAAATCATTACAAACAGAATTGAAAGGCGAGTTAGTATTACTTATTGAATTATTATTAAAACTATTACCCCATATAGCAGTCTGGTCAGCTGATGCGGTCTGAGCCTGTGGTTGCCACAAGGTATGTTGTTGTATTGGATTACCACCTGGACAATATGTAGGTGCTATCTGAGCCTGGGGATAGGTGTAGATTCCATCTTGGCATACTGGACCATAATTAACATGTGTTGTCTGTGTCTGAGGTTGTGGATGATAATAACCTGTTGTGTCCAGGTACTGAGTTGTGCCAATATTTTGATTATAACCAAGGTTATATTG